AGGGAGGGGGGTGTCTGGCTCAATGCCCCAGAGCTGAGCTCACAGCAGGAGATGGCCAGCCCTGGCCCCACCCACCACACCCACTGGACACACCCAGCTCCGCTAAGGTAAGGCCACGCCCGAGCCCTGAAATGGACTCTGGGATTTCAGGAGAACACAGGGTGTAACAAGGCACAACTGGCCCTTTCAAGAGGAGAGGAAAGGAAGGGAGGGGAAGGGAGAGGAGGGGAGGGGAGGGGAGCTGCTGGGCAGTTAGCCAGCAGGCCCCAGGGGAGAGCAGCTCCTGGGGTGCCCTCATCTCTGAGGCACTGACCTGAAGCCTGGAAAACCCACCTTCCATCCACGCCAGGCCATGGCCATACAGGGCCCCCTCCACCCTGCCACACTCAACTGGGCACACTCTTCTGCCCTGCCACACTCGTCCAGGCATGCACACACATACATGCACACACCCTGCCACAGTCCCCCAGGCACACAGGTGCACGCACACACACACACCCTGCCATAGCCCCCAGGCACACGCTCATGCACACACACACACACACACACACCCTACCATAGCCCCCAGCACATGCACTGACCTCCTCGTTCTGATAGGCAGTCACAGCAATGAACTGGGTCTCAGGGAAGGAGCAGTTCACCACCACCCGGGGGGCACCTCCGACACGCACCACGTGGACCTGGGGCTCGTACTTATGCAGAGAGCTCAGCATTATCTGGGGTGGGGGGAGAGAGAAGCAAAGCAGGGCCTGGTCGTTGTGGGCATAGACGAGCCCTAAGCTCGGCGCCCTGGCTGGGGACACATGCCTGGAACCCCAGCCCCCCACGCCTCTGAGGACAAAGGGGGCTCTTCCAGACCTCCAGGGACACCATGTTAAAGCCCTGCGGGGGCAAGAGGTGAGTTGCCAGAGGGGAATTTTCTAGTGTCGGGTTTTCTGCCCAAATCTCTCCTTCCTTTTTCTCTTTGGCACAACCATGTGGATCCCAAGCTGCTAGAAGGCATCCGGGTTGTCACATGAGGAATCCAAATAGCTCAGAACACCTCAGTGGCTGCATGTCACGGGCGAGGGACAGGAGATGCACCCACCACCACAGGTACGTCTCGCCAGCTCTCCGATGCCAGGGAAAGGTTATGGGAAGCCCCATGCCGTGAAGCCTGGCTGGCAACAACAATTTGGTTTTCGATTTCCTGTCTTTACAAAGAACTGGAACCTTCTGGGCATCCCGGAGACTCAGGGCGTTCACTCCATCTTCCAGAACAGGAGCTCCCACATTCCCTGCCAGGGAGGCAGAGGCCAGGGAAGGGCACAAAAGCCAGGGCAGGGGCTGGCCCAGGACGCGTGGTGGGCAGGGGCCCTCCCCAGCCCCATCTCCAGTCCCCAGAAACAGCCCACGTCTTAGAGCGGGACTGACGGCCTTGCACGGCAGGCTAATGGCCACAATCCTACAGGGAACAGGAGAGGAAAAAGCCTCACATTTTTGTTTACTCTAATTGGAAACCTTAAAAAAAAAAAAAAAAAAAAAAAAACTTCCTTCTTTAAGGTTTGTTTGGATTTTTTTTTTCTGGAAAAACCAAAGCTGATTCAAAATTGTATTGATAATTATCATAATGCCCAAGTGGAGGCAGTAATTATTTCATTTGGGAGCAGCGTTTTATTAAGGTATTTGTCTACTGCCAACAGGCCACTTATGCCCAAAATAGGGAGCGGAAATAACAAAACCCGGTGCCCACCAGGCTCGGGGCTGGGTGAAAAGCCGCACAGGAGGAACTCTGAAAAGGGCCTGATGATTAAGTAAACTAGGCACTCTCACTCTCTTAACATCAGGAAGTCCATTAAAAACTGAAAGCACCAATTAAGAGCTGTTTATTCCTGTTTACATTTGGACTCCGGGGAGTAATTGGCTTCTGTGGGAGAAGAGGCTGGTGAGGACCCCTCTAATTGCCTAAATGCACCCTGATATTTCCTAATTGGCATGTGGAGAGCCAGGGTGGCCGGCCGGCTCCTACCTGCCCACCTCCGTTGAGCTTGTTGGTCAGCTTCACCTTGCTGAAGGAGACGGGGGCTTTCATCCAGTGGGCCCCGAAGTTGGGGGAGTCCGGGTGGATATAGACGCAGCTGTGGCTGGAGACCTCAGGCTTGCCCGCCGGCACCCACTCCCCGTTGACGTACTTCCAGCGGTGGCCGTCCGTTGGGACGAAGTCCAGCAGCAGGGAGTACATGGCGTTGGGGTCCAGCCCGGTGACGCTGACCTTCAGCACAGGGAACATCCGTCTAGAAGAAGAGTCAGAGCTTAGCCATCCGGGTGCTGGGGAGCGCCGGAGGGCACCGTCCAGAAGGGGGCCTTCCAGGGGTGTTAGGGACGCCTCCGTCTCAGCCCCCAGCTGCTGGCCAGCCCACAGGTATCTGGACTCCCAGGAGACCTCCCAGGGAACACCCTGGGAGGGCGGCCAAGTAAACAGTGACCACGTCCTCGTCCGATTTCACCAGGGCCTCTTTGCAGAAACAGTGGGCTTCTACTTGAAAACTTATGCTCCGTTTTAGAGCCTGAACACTCCGATCCGGTCACTGACAGAGGAGGCCCTGAAGCCTTCGGTGTAGAAGCCGATGCACCTTCTCTCCAAGAGCTTTCTTCAGCGCTCGCCCCTGGGCAGACTAACACCACCAACCATCCCTTCCAGCCTCGCCCAGAACACCCCGAATAACAGCGGCGGCATTTACGACCACACAGGGCTCTAGGGCGAGACCAGCGAGAGGACACTGGGCTGCGTACCGGCAGACCCGTTCCTTTTCTCCGGGACTCCGGGCGTCCACTGCCGGCCTCTGAGAGGAGGCATGGGGCTGCGGACCCTGAGCTCCACGGGCTGTCCGCTCTGCTCTGGGGATCCGTGTGCAAAAGCACACTTGAAATCACGGGTCTGGGCTCAGCCCTCCTCTCTGCCCTCTCAAACAGTTCCCTCCCTGGGGCCAGCAGTTGGCGTGATGGCTATGTCGCTGGACTCCCGAATGTAGTCAACCGGCGGGTCGAGTCCCGGACCTGATAGCTTAAACTCACACCGGGCGCATGTGTGTGTGTGCCCAAGATCCTGAGAGGAGAATGGAGGAGAAGGGATTGTGGTGTGGCC